TCCAATGTTTCCCTTCACTCACATTTCTGTTATTTGTCCCCTTCAGGGGTGGGGGCTATATATCCAACCTTCTGATGGGTTCCCCATTTTTCCCCCTTCCCCCTTCCCGACAATCTCCCTACCCTCATGATATCATTACTCCCACTACTGTTCCTGAGGGGTTTACCTGTCCTGAGTTCCATATGTTCAGAGCTCTTATTTGTACTGATGTGTGTTCTCCGATCTAGCCAGATTTGTAAAGGAGAACTGGGTAATGGTAGTGGGGAGAGTGAGGGTGTTGAAGCATTCAGGAACTAGAGGAATGATGTGTGAAGAAACCAAAACATTTGAAATCATGGTGGTAACAATCATTTAGCAATTGGGTATGTTAAATGCTATGCTTTACATGTACTAGTGCAGATTTTGTGTTCATTTTTTAATACAGCTTCTGTGAAGTAGTTAGAATAGTATACCTTTCCATGCATAGGAGAATTGCATTTACAGATGAGGAAATTTAAATTGTGAGAGATTATCAACTTGGTCTAAGCTATTTTACTGATAAATATGAGGTGGCTTCGAAAAGTTTGTGGAAAAATGGGATTTAAAGATGATGGATATTTTGCACAAACTTTTTGAAACTGTCTCTATGAGTGTAGCAGAGACAGAACCCCAAATCAGATAACTATATTTTGGTTTTTAACCATCATATCGTACTGTCTCTTAAGCTCTAAAGTAAAACATTAACTAGGCTTCTATGTTTATGAATTTTTTAAAAAGTACATGCTATTATAAGAAGCAATGTGTTAGCAAAATATTCAAGTGGCACTTCAGATGCTAAAATTTGTTTCCTCCTCTTTGAAACCAGATGGTCTCTGAGGTACTTAATCTACTTAGTTCTTCAGATTTCTTTTTGTTTAATGGTTGATTTATGTAAATTTTGTTAAAGAAGGCAATGTAGAAAAAAATGAAGTGTCATACTTATTTGATTCAATACACATTTTATGCTAAATTTGTGCTAGATTTATTAGGAATAGGAACTCGATAATATAGACACTATTGATAGAAAGGGTTATAAAACAATGTACACAAAGGCATTGTTTTAGTCTGGGTAGACTAGAGAAACAAATTCATAGACACTCGTGTATATAAGAAAGAGGTTTCATGACTCGAATTCTATCTTGCAAGTCTGGCTAGACCAGAGGAGGTACACTGGTACAGATAGGAACTGAAAATACAGGGAATCCAGGACGGATGAGCCCTATAGGACCAGTGGTGTGAGTGGCAAAACAGGGAGGGTAAAGGGAGAATGGGTAGGAAAGAGGGAACTGATTACAAAGAACTATATGTGACCTCCTCCCTGGGGGACAGACAACCGAAAAGTGGATGAAGGAAGACGTCGGACAGGGCAAGATATGACAAAATACCCATTTATAAACTATCAAGGGCTCATGAGGGAGGGGGGAGCGGGGAGCGAGGGGAAAAATGAGGACCTAATGTCGGGGGTTTAAATGGAGAGGAAATGTTTTGAGAAACGATGTACAAATGCGCTTTACACAATTGATGTGTGTATGGATTGGGATAATAGTTGTATGAGCCCCTAATAAAATGTTAAAAAAGAGAAGAAAAAAAAAAAGAAAGAGGTTTATATATAAAAACAATTGAATATTGATAAAACTTCCCAGCCCGGTCCAGATCAAGTCCATAAGTCCAATATTAGCCCATATGTCTGATATCAGTCTATCAAGATCTCTTCAGATTCTTGAAATACATGCAATGATACTGAATGCAGAAGGATCACAGGCCAGTGGGTTAGAAGTCTTGTGGATCCAGTGGTGTTGTAAGCATCTCGGCGCTGGTAGGGCTCTCTACCTGGCTTCTCTGGCTCCAGAGGTCTGGTTGCATCGGGGTAGGTCCATGTGCCTTCTCCAGCTCCCAGGGTGGAGCACCATGTGTCTTGTCAGTAGAGCATCTCTCAGGGAGTGAGCCTTGTCAGTAGAGAGTAAAGGGAGTGAGCGAAAGAAGTGTCTCCTGTCTCCAAGGAGGAAATCCCAGAATTCTTAGAAGTCCATGCCTTCAGAGGCCTCATTGGCTATATCTTGATTGACAGACCAGACTAAACCCCTTCACTCGAAATCCTCTCAAATTGACATCAGATTATGTAACTACAACAGATATCGATTTTAAAAAAATGATCTTAAGGGCTTTTTCAAAGTGAAAAACTAGCTACATTTTTTCAGCAACCTTTGCTCCTTTCAAATTTCAGGCTTAAGGATTTTGTTTGCAGGTATGAAATAATGAATTAGCTTTCAAAACATTTTTGAGATTCTATGACAATTTATAATTAAAAATTTACATGTATATGCATATACACACACAGTTAACATTTCAGTGGTTTTAGAACTTCTATATGAAGCTTAACTTGAAATCCAATTAGGATTTTATAGATTGAGGAAAAATAGGTCGTCATCTCTAATAAGGCTAGCATTTTTCAGGTTTCACAGTATTATTCATGGCTTTTCTTTTATTGTTATCGTCAAATTATAAGGCTGCTTTTATGTTATTTCCTCAAGAGCATACTCTTCCTGTTTGGTCTGATGCCATAGTCTTTTCTAGGTGGACTAAATCAAGGGTTCTTAGGTTCGTGTCCACATAGGTTAGATTGTATAAGCATTGTACTTATTTATATTTATTTTTCTGAGGAGAAAAGAGCCATAACTTTCATAAGATACTCAAATGTGTCCTATTTCATTACAAAGGAGTATTCACCATAGCCTTGAAAGGTTTCTGGTAGATATGTAATATAAAATACGTGGATTAATGGTTTTCTGAAAGATCTGGACAGCGCATTCTCCGTGCCTCTGCATAGCTGAGTGTTCTAGGCATTCACTACTGTATTTGTTCTTTAACTGTGTCCATATTGCGTTTTCCCAGTAGATCTCCTTTTCAAAATCCTACCAAATCAAATCGTTCGAACCCAACTTAAGATCTATCTGTACTTACCAATAGTAATTTTTCCCATCAAGAAGGCTTTTTTCAATACACTGATTTGTGATTTTTATTTTAATAATCGTACTTGTGTTAGATGTCTATAGCATGTATAAAAGAATGACTAACATCACAGACATTTTCTATATGTTTCTTGAAAACAGGTATTTAACAGAATTCCTTATATAGACATTTTGGTACTTAAAATTGGTTTAATTTTCAAGCCTTTCTTTATGAATTTCCTCAGAGAAAAACAGGACAGTGAACACCATTGCACCTTGCACCTAGATTAAATAATTGTTGACATTTTACAATATTAGCAATATCTACTCTTTATATAATTTTTAACCATTTGAAAACAAGTTACATGTATTCTGGTAGCTGATCCCTTAATATTTTAGCATGCGTCTCTCTACTAGGTAAGGTTTTCTTTCATACCCATAGTGCCATCGACACACCTGAGAAAAGGAAACAGTAATTTTGTAATATCTAAGATTATCCTCATTTCAACTCTAAAATATTCTAGAATGATAATCTTAGTGCGTGTTTTGATATATCACAGAATACGTTTGAGTCAATAGAGTGTTTCTATATCTATATTTAGGGTTTTTAAGAGTTAAAAGCACTTGAAAGATTAATTGGCAGTAATTCACTGATTACAGATGAAGAAAATGAGGTACATTACTGCTTTGTGTCAGTACTGGGAATGGGAATATCTGGGTTTTTTAATTTCTGAGGAAAATGTTCTTTACCATTATCAAACCTAGCACTTGTAACTTCTGCTTTGTTAAGGTATGTATAAAATCATGGAGCTAATGACCTCATCTGTTTTGCAGAAAGGAAGCATTCATTTAAAACATTTACTAGTAATCGGTGTGAGTGTACATATGTTCTGTATGTGTTGGTTTTTAAATGATGTTTCATAAGAGTATTACGTATTATTAGGTTGCCATCTTAAGCAGTATGGTTTATAGATTTGAAATTTTATGGAATTTTATTTATTATTTTGTTAAATGACTAGTGTTTATCAGTAATGAATATTATATCTATATTAGTTGCTTTGTTATGTTTGCAGTTTTAAGATGAATCTTATGTATCTTTTTTATTCTATTGATAATTTTGTTTTTAAATATGCATGTCTGGGTTTGATTATTTTATTCTTTTAAATACATTTAAATATATGTATATACATTTTAGAAAACAATTTCATTTTTTCTTCTTTTTTAAATCATTTTATTAGGGGCACATACAACTCTTATCACAATCCATACATCAGTTGTGTAAAGCACATTTGTACATTCATTGTCCTCATCATTCTCAAAGCATTTGCTCTCCACTTAAGCCCCTGCATCAGCTCCTCATTTTCCCTCCGCTCTTCCCACCCCCCTTCCCTCATGAACCCTTGATAATTTATAAATTATTATTTTGTTATATCTTACACTGTCCGACATCTCCCTTCGCCTACTTTTCTGTTTTCCGTACCCCAGGGAGGAGGTTATATGTAGATCCTTGTAATTGATTCCCCCTCTTCACCCCACCCTCCCTCCACCCTCCCAGCACATTTTCATTTTTTCTAATTCAAATATACTTTAATTTTTAGAATCCTATTTTGTATACATGATATATTCAAGGTTAAAAAGAAAGGATTTGCTAAATGAACTTGTAGAATAAAGATTATAAAGATGTTTCTTTCACCATTGAGAAATTAAAAATTGCAAATTCTTTACAGTGTTTCCATATGTGTGCAGATATCATCACTATGTTTGAATTTTTTGTAACTCATATCTATTCCCCAGTTGGGGATATGATACTAATTGATAGCCTCTTTGTCACATTTTATAGGATTTTGTATTCATAAAGTTTTGTAGGCATGTTTATAACTTCCTAGCAAAAAGAAAAATGCAAGGAGCCATGTCGATTTATTAAGAATCCTGAATCCTAATACTAAAAAAAAAAAAATTTAGCATAACATAGTAATAGTATTCCCTGAACAAACACTTGTATATCTGATTGTTACACTTTTTTCCCCCTTCTAGTAAATCAAGAGGAGTTCATTGCCATTATGACTGGTGACATTTAAATGATTATTAGAAGACCCACTAAGAAGGTGGCAGTTACCATCTTGTCTACTTTTGTGCCTGGAGCCATGTAAAGGAGAAGGCAACTTTGTTCCCAGAGGACCAAAATAAGCATCTTATGTATTTGTACTTTACTACTCTTCAGTTTCTTTGTATAAACGGTGTTGTTAGTACTCAAATAGTTCAGTTTTGTATTTATAGTATAGCTTTTATATAAAGTTTCAACAATTAAATCATGTGATACAGATTCTTCTTTGAGGGTTTTTAATAACAGTAATCGCATTTGGTGTACACGTTTTTCAAGCTTTAATTAATAAAATACTTGTTAGCATTTTAGAGTTTAGTAAATATATTTTGATTCCTAATGTCTATTGACTCTCATGGGTGTCTTTCTTAAATCTTTTTCTAATCATTTTATTAGGGGCTCATACAACTGTTATCACAATTCATACATACATGAATTGTGTAAAGCACATTTGTACATTCATTGCCCTCATCATTCTCAAAACATTTCCTCTCCACTTAAACCCCTGGCATTAGGTCCTCATTTTTCCCCTCCCTCCCCGCTCCCGCCTCCCTCATGAGCCCTTGATAATTTATAAATTATTATTTTGTCATATTTTGCCCTGTCCGACATCTCCCTTCACCCACTTTTCTGTTGTCTGTTCCCCAGGGAGGGGTCACATATAGTTCCTTATAATAGGTTCCCTCTTTCCAACCCACTCTCTACCCTCCTAGTATCGCCACTCACACCACTGGTCCTGAAGGGATCATCCACCCCGGATTCCCTGTGTTTCCAGTTCCTATCTGTACCAGTGTACATCCTCTGGTCTAGCCAGACTCGCAAGGTAGAATTCAGATCATGATAGTGGGGGCGGAGAGGAAGCATTTAGGAACTAGAGGAAAGTTGTATTTTTCATTGTTGCTACATCACACCCTGACTGGCTTGTCTCCTCCCCGAGACCCCTCTGCAAGGGGATCTCCAGTGGCCTACTAATGGGCTTTGGATCTCCACTCTGCACTCCCCCCATCATTCACTATGGTAAAATTTTTTGTTCTGATGATGCCTTATACCTGATCCCTTCGACACCTCGTGATTGCATAGGTTGGTGTGCTTCTTCCATGTGGGCTTTGTTGCTTCTGAGCTTGATGGCCCCTTGATTGCCTTCAAGCCTTTAAGACCCCAGACGCTATACTTTTTGATAGCTGGGCACCATCAGCTTTCTTCGCCACATTTGCTTATGCACCCATTTGTCTTCAGCGATCCTTTCGACACCTCGTGATCACACAGGCTGAGTGGAGACTCAAAGCCCATCAGTAGGCAACTGGACCCCTCTCACTGAAGGGTTGAGGGGAGGAGATGAGCCAATCGGTGCAGAGTAGCAACGATGAAACATAATAACTTTCCTCTAGTTCTTAAATGCTTCCCCCCCACTACCATGATCCTAATTCTACCTTACAAATCTGGCTAGACCAGAGGATGTACATTGGTACAGATAGTAGCTGGAAACACAGGGAATAGGACAGATGACTCCCTCAGGACCAGGTGCGAAAGGGGCAAGGCCTGGAGGGTGAAGGGAATGGGGTGGAAAGGGGGAACCGATGGCAAGAATCTAGGTATTGCCTCCCTCGGGGAGGGACAGCAGAGAAGAGGGCGGGGGGAGATGTCTGACAGTGTAACATGACAAAAACTATAATAAGTTGTGAGTTATGAAGGGTTCATGAGGGAGGGGGGGTAAGGAGGGAGGGGGAAAATGAGCAACTGATACTAAGGGCTGAGGTGGAGGACAAATGTTTTGAGAATGATGAGGGCAGAAAATGTACATATGTGCTTGACACAGTGGATGTATGTATGGATTGTGATGAGAATTGTATGAGCCCCCAATAAAATATTTTAAAAAAATGTTACTAGATGTTGGAAGCTTGGAGAAGAGGTTAGGTAGAGCAGGTACTCAGACACGCGAGAAGGGAACACCACAGGTTGTTGCTGGTTGCTACTGCTGTTAGGTGCCTTCCAGTCGGGGCTGAATCATAGCAACCCTGTGTACAATCCAATAAAACTGCCCAGTTCTGTGCCATCCTCATAGTTGTTCCTAATTTTGAGCTCTTCAGTGCAGCCACTGTGTTGAAGGTCTTCTCTTTCACTGCCCCACTTCTTCCCCAAGCATGATGTCCTCCAGGGACTGCTTTGTCCTAACATGTCAAGTACAGGAGACAAGGTTTTGTAATCCTTGCCTTTAAGGAGTATTCTGACCATTTCTAAGATTTGTTGGTTCTTTTGGCAGTCCATGATACTTTAAATATTCTTTGCCAGGACCATACTTCAAATGCATTGATTCTTTTTTAGGCTTCCTTATCCAGTGTCCAACTTTCACATGCATGTGAGGTTATTAAAAATACCATGGCTTGGGTCAGGCGTACCTCAGTCCCCAAAGAACATCTTTGCTTTCCCCCCAACACTTTAAAGAGGTCTTGTGCAGCAGATTCACCCAATGCAGGGCATCCTTTCTCTTTACTGCGGCTTCCATGAGCATTGACTGTGGATCCAAGCAAGATGAAGTCTTTGACAACTTCATTCTTTCGTCCATTTATCATTCCCTTCTGGTCCAGTTGGGAGGATTTTGCTTTTCTTTATATTGAGTTTAATTCATACCGAAGAGTACCATCCTTTCTCAGCAAGTGCTTCCTTCCTTCCTCCCTTTCTGCAAGCAAGGCTCTGTCCTCTATGTGTTGATTCGGAAAAATGAAAGTGTTTTAGGAATGCTAAGAAAAAGCTGGAGACAGAATCCAAGTACCACTGGTGGAATGAAGACCTGTGGCTTGGGGATACTGACAGAATCTGTAGGCAAACTGAAAATAGCAAGTTCCCTTTCCATCTGTTTTCTTGTCTCTGCCTCCTGCTCCCTATTAATGCAGCCTAACAAAACTTCAGGGCAAAGAAGAACCGTCATTTTCATAGTCCCAGTTTTACGAAAGTGAGTGCAGAATAGTTGTTTGGAGCTATGGGTGGGGGTGGGGGGGTGGGGTGGGAATGGGAAAGAGCTAAATAACCAGCATAGCTGATCATAAAATTTATAACCTGAACCAGGCTCCCTTTGAGAGTGAAGGAGCTTGGTGAGTGGTTAATCATTTATCCTGGGACAACAAATTAAATCAGAATGATCATAAGCAAAGTGAGACGATCACCTGACCTAAAAATGGCAACTCAGATTATTTCAACCTGTTTGTTTTGTATTTAAATTGAATATATAGACATATTTCCCCTTATGAATATGTATTTTACTGCTAAGTTTTATAAAGGAAAAATCTTAAAAATTTTTAATAATATTTATTGAATACTTATTGTGTGCCAGACACACGTAGATTTCATGCATGCTATATATTTAATCCTTATATTCTCCTGGAGTTTAATATTATTGGATTATTTTTATACATGAAGTAATCAAAGCTTACAGGTCTTTAGCAGTGTATTAAAGGTAACAATAACTCTAAATTAGAATCTCTACCCAAGCTATGTGGCCATGGAGCCCACTCATAACCACTGGGTTGTACGATCTCATTGAAATGATTTGAGTAGTCTAAGATATAAAGGGTCAGACCTACCTATGAAACTACAAAACACAAAATAGAATTTGGTATTCAGAAGCTCAGCAGAAAAAACTAAATATTTATGGCTAATCTAGCATTGGTGCTGTATTAGTACAGGTTGGCTAGAGAAACAAATCCAGAGACACTCATATGTGTGTAAGAGAGCTTTATATCAACGAGCAGTTGTATATTGAGAAAACATCCCATCCCACTCCAGATCAAGTCCATAAATCTGATATTAGCCCATATGTCTGATACGAGTCCATAAATTAGTCTTCAGACTCACACAGCATATGCAATGATGCCAAATGCAGGAAAATCACAGGCCTGTGGATGGAAAGTTCTGTGGATCCAATGGCAGTAGACACATCTCCAGGGCTTTGGCTGCCATCAGCAGGGCTCCATATGGCTTGTCAACAGGAATGTCAAGCAGAGTGAGAGTGTGTGTCCCACTTCCAGGGAGGAAGAAAGGGAGTTCCTAGAATCCTCATATGCCCACAAGGAGACATCTTCAGGCTGTGATCTGACTGAAAGGCTAGACTCCACCCCTTTATTCTATTTATCAAGTTGACATGAAGTTATGTAACTACTACCATAGGTACTATGTTTTATTCTACACGAGTTGCTGGTTGGTGTCAGACCCCTAGAAGTTAACTATCTCATACAATATTGATAATAGTCCATGAAACAGCACACTGAAAAGTAGATGAGACCGGAAAAGAAATATATTGAGTACAACTACATTATTCAACAAATACTTCTTGAAAAAGTGGATCTTATTAAGTAGACTTGGAAAGTTTTCATTTTATGAGTAAAATTTAGGAAAACTTTGTTTTCCCACTTTTGTGGAGGAAATTTTATTGTAGGAATCTCTTGAATTAGGAAAGAGCAATTATAATTCTTAGTAGGAAATAGAGGGAACCTTGGGTTTGGCATATGACTTATAAATGAATGTGATGTAGGATCCTGGAGAAATCCAGCCAGAGCAGTGAGGGAGCAAAGATAATGGCCTTAGACCAGCTCCTTAAGGTCTTGGTGGAGGTACATTTGTCAGAATGAAAGTCAGTGGAAGTTATTTTAATAGAATTAAGAATTATCCAGATTTTGATTTGCGAGGAGGACTTCTTGTAATGAAATATGGCACTTACCTGGATGAAACTGTAGTTGGAAGCCTTGGAGACCTGGTTAAAGAGCCTAGACTCTTCCGTTCAATTGCATTAGGTTTTCCATTGAAATAGGTTAATTTGCCTACATTTTCTAATTCTGAATTAAATCATTTGTCATCCTGTAGTTAAAACATTCATGGAAAACTTCGTCCTAGAAGCTATGAAAATTTTCTAAGTAAAATCTAAAGCTAGTAAAACCAAACCTGATTTATCTGAGGTGTAATATGTTTACATTTATGTTAGAGTCACTTTTTTTTAACTGAAGAATGTCTTTTATTTTATTTTTTATCATTTTATTGGGGGCTCGTACAGCTCATCAAAATCCATCCATCCATCCATTGTGTCAAGCACATTTGTACATTTGTTGCCATCATCATTTTCAAAACATTTTCTTTCTACTTGAGCCCTTCATATCAGCTCATTTTTTCCTCCTCTAGAGTCACTTTTGTGAAGTGTTCCCTAAATAGTAAATGTAATTATTAATATTATTATCTGGTTGTCATGATAGTCCAAATTGCTTTATCTTTTGACTCTTGGAAGCCTGTAAGTCTTTGTTGTGCTATTCAGAGAATATTTATTTTTCAATATGTGATGATTTTAGAAAAAATATAGAGT